AAGGGACATTTGCACCTCATTCTGCGTTTCCAAACCACCACCAAAGTATCTCTTTTCTGATGCTGTCTGCCAATATTTAGGTTTAATTTTATAGTTCTGAACTATTTACCATTCACCAAAAGCTGGTGGTGTTTGTTTGTGACTTGCTGGGAGATGTTTCTGCCTTAACCAACTTTTAAAAACAGGGTGGGTGCGTTGGTAAATGTTATTTGTCATCTCTTTTAGTGCAGTTTCCTCTGGGATTAATAAAGTATTTTGAATTGAATTGAATTTAAATAGTCAAAATGCTTTTTCATCTTTTTGTAATTTTCGGTTACGAATATATATTCTATGGAACATTACATAAGAGCTTAGTAAACAGAACCTTAATTATCCTGTGGGCTAATTAGTACAGTGGAGTCCCACACCCCTAGGCCCTAAGCTTGGTTTATGCTTGACGCATTTACTTTCTGCTTGGTGATGTGGCTCACGGATGGAACGCGCTTCACAAATTGCAGCGTTTATGGTTCGTGCGGCTCGTCTCTGCGGTGAGCCAATATTCTCCCAACCTGTAGGGGGCAGCATGGAGCTCTACAGCATACATCCAACACTACACCATAGTAGAAGTAAAAATTACTGTTGTGTACAACATGACAATCCAGCATTCTTTAACAGCGTCCTCGTCTTTTCCGACATTGCGAGCTGTTTCTCTCCAAGAATGATTAACAACATGTTGATCACGGTGATCTTTGAGAGCTGAATCATACAAATGTCTGTATTTACGAACCTCTGCCATACTAGTTCTTATCAGTCCGCCATGTTTTTCCCTCGTCCGACCATCCGCGTGGTTAGAAATTTTCCTAGGTGCGCGGTGCAGAAATTTTGGGCCGTGCGGAGGCGCGGTGGAGGGGCGTGGTTGTTAAAATGACACAATTCTGCCGCGCGGAGCCGTGTGGACCTCGCGGACGCGTCAAGCATAAACCAACCTTTAGGCTTTTGAAAGGCTAATGGTATGCTCTGAAATTTCAAAATGTTTGTGTTTATAACACAAAATGTAAGAACAGGACGACTAAATCTGTGTAAAACTAGTGTTGTAAAAGCACTTGGTGTGCTTGGGTATCAGATAGGTAATGGAGCGATGTGACGTTGTTTTCTTATATATATATAAGATACACACATAATTGTGTGTGTAAACTAAAGGCAAAGAGGCAAAAGTTTGTCAGGATTCTTATGCTTTTCCAAACTTTAAAGCTTTGTTGCCTTCTTCCATTGCTTTTATGTTCCCACAGTTTCACCTATCTATAACTAACTATTACGGCCTATCATCATGTGCACACACAAACGTAGGGTTGATCTCAGCATATAATAAGAGCCATGACCCCATTTGTGACATGATTTCATGCATCCACCTCTGCTACAAGGACAGCTTCTCTTTCATGTGTGTGTCAACCCCTGGCTATGTGAGTGTTTAGATAACCGCAGGCTCGGTGTGCTGATTCTCCCTCATAGGATTCCCGCAGGCAAGAGGAAGCTGTTTGCAGGCTGCACCGAAGCTTGTCAATAATCAACTCAGAATTGTGTGAACATTAAAATATTTTTGCAAAGGAAAACCATTGATTTTTATCTTGATGACTAAACTTTGCAGTGTAATTGGGGCCAACTATTAATTTTGTTATAGCAGAGGAAGTTTGCAGTAGGGATGTCCTAATGTATCCTCGATGCCAGTCCTTTAGGAACAGGTATATGCTGATACAGATCAGATTCCCAGCCCAGTGTCTGCATATTTATGTTTTAGTAGGTAAAAACATTAAATTTAGTGAGTGAGAGTGTTTGTAACAGATGACCATGCAGAGAGACAGTTGATCTACACAGATCAAAGGGTTTGACTCACTACTGCACTTTTCACCTGGTTGCTTATGAATGCTCTTTTTGGATATTCAAATAAAGGTGGAATAAGGGACACACACGCCAAAGCGACATGTAGTGTGTGGAGGTTGAACAAGGTTGCCAGCTGTCGGGACACCAGGTTCGCTGCCGATACGTGACAATTTTTATTTGGGTCCATCTGTTGTAGGCTTCACCTAAACTCACTTTGGTTTTAGATCTTTTATGGTCGCTCCTCTTCTGACTACGATAGCGACATCTTCTGGGCTCAGAAGCAGCTGCTTGACTTAACAAGTCCACCATTTTCCACAGTGCCAGCCTCGCTATGCCAAGTGAACTCTTTGGAAACCTGCATTGATGCCTTCTATATGCTGGTAGATGTAAACATTAACCAAGTGTCGTGCAGCATAAATATTTGATCATTTTTTTCATCAAAACATATCTTTTAAAGGAAATACTGTTCATTCTTTTCGCCCCGAAAAGTTTTTTTTTAATTAATTTAAAGGGGCATTATGGAAGTTTGACAGCCAAAACATGTATAGAAATAATAAATTTCTTCTTCATACATTCTCCTGCAATGTCCTGGTCCTGTAGAATGAACCCTGGCATTTTTACTGTGATTGCCTGTTTTTCTGTAAAATCACAGAAAAAGAGAGATGCTCGAGTCGAGCAGGCTGCTTCATGCGCGTTCACGCTCAGGCATAGCCCGTAGCACTTGCTATCAGTAGCTTTAGCAGCAGAGAGTGAGGTAGTGCCAACTCAGCGACTTTGTCGCTGTTCCCACGTCTAGTGATGAACCTAGCTACATTTCTGAGGACCCTTAGCTACTTTCTTCTAGATATTTCCTGCAAATTAGCAACAAAATAGCCATTTTCGCTCCGAACCATTCTTTGAACATTGTTTCAGCTGTCATCAATGATATAAATATTACAGATGCCAACAAAGTCAGTGGTGGTTTAGCTCATCTAGTTAGACGTCGGACTCTCGTGCAGGAGACCTGGGTTTGATTCTGGGTGAGAACACAGTTTTTTTAGAGTTTCTTTTTTACATTAATGGTATATTTTTTACAGTAAGATGCCCAAATTTTTATTTGAGACTTGCCGAACGGCATTGAATTCACAGATAAAAAAGATGTGGGCTCAACTTTCATTTTGGAACAATTTTTCAAGCAAGGGAAGGGAATGATCTGAGCATGCAGGAGGTCTGACCCATCTTAAACCTTTGGCGGCTGTGCTGAAGAGAAAAGGTGCAGAACCAAATTAATTAATTAGCTGTGCGTTCTCCTGTCCTCTGTCCTCCGGGACACACACACACACACACGCACGCACACACGCATGCACGCACGTGAGTGTCAACTTAACAGGAATTAAATGGTATTTACTGCAGAATACCTATTTAGTAAGTAACTATATTACCAGTAACAATTACCTGGTAAAATATGGCTACTCACTTTGTAAACTATTGGTATAAAATAGGTAATTTAGGGATTTTTAAATAGAACTTCAATTGAAATTACCTACTAACTCATTGTAATTGCATAGAAACACTCTAAATGCAAATATGTTGCCATTTTACTGTGTAATATGTTGGTAAATAGTGCCTAATTTTTGCACTATTGCACAGTGATTTTACTTGAATTACCCTGTACAACAATTTTTATTACATAATTACCCTTTAAATTACAATTTATTACCTGTTATTACACTTTAACTTACTATGTAATTACCATGTAAGTACTTAGTAATTAGGGGACTGTAAAAGGAAGCGTTACCTCATAGGGAGATTAGGAATCAGAGAGTAGAAACCAAAGAGAAGAAGAGCCATAGAGAGCAGAAACCATAGAGGGAGTAGGAATCATAGAGTGTAGAAATAATATAGTTAGCAGGAACCATAGAGAGTTGGAACTATAGACAGTAGGAACCATAGAGAGAGTAGAAACCAGTTAGTAGAAATCATAGAGTTAGGAGCGATAGAGAGAGTAGGAGTCACAGAGAGAGTAGGAGTCATAGAGAGAGTAGAAATTATAGAGAGGGTAGGAGTCATAGAGAGAGTAGGAGTCATAGAGAGAGTAGAAATTATAGAGAGGGTAGGAGTCATAGAGAGAGTAGGTCAGCACTAGAAATCGGGACTTGAGCATCGTCAAGCTGATTTGATATCTGATTGGGACATCCCTAACTTGCAATGACCTTTTCTTGTTATATTTTCATGTAATTACAATTTCTTACAATAAAATAATTTTCATTTAATTATAGAAATAAAAAAATTATGTTAAAGTCCTAGCTGTATTTGTCATAAATATCTCAAGACTGTTCTTGTGTTTTTTCACCCACTAGGTCTGTTGTCCGTCTTGCTGCCAGTCTGTTAACTAAGCTAGTGGATAGCCTTGCCCCCAGTATTACTAGTATTTTAGTGCAAGGCAAGCAGGTAAGCCTAACTAGTCATTATCCCTTCTCTAAAAATGGAATGTTTGGGAAAAGCTGATTTTAATGTTCACTGATTTACACCCAAAGAAATTGGAACCATGCTTTTTTTAAAGCTCCTCGTGCTGTCATCCTATGGGAATTACCCAGGCCAGCTGCTTGCTCATGCCCCTCATCACGACTCACCTTGATTGTTTGCGGTGTTTAGCTGTAGTTGCATCAAGGTGCCAGTGTGACCCACCTTGTGGCCCATGAATGGAGTGATGCGACCACCTCATGCTGGTTGACTCTCAGTGCATCATTTCCCATCAAGTGTTATTCAGAGATTCGCCTCTTCTCAAGAGTATCCGTTATCTTGCTGTTTTCACCCTTCTGAGCTGTTTTAGTCCTTTCATTATACTGAAGTAGCTGAAGGTGTGAATCTGCATATAGATTGCCTACCGGAGGGAACGCTCCTCAGCATGATTGAAAAAGCTGATTTAAAATTGGAGGTGGACATGTTCCTCTGCTTACAGTAGCTGTTCAGTCGAAAGAAGACGAGGCCCCACCTCATTTAAGTAGATTTTTCACTTGAGCTTTGATTGTATTTCACTCTGTCTTCAAACAATGCCTCTTCTGTTGAATCCAAAGCTTCTTTTTCATCTTTAGGCCCATTTCATCTCTGCTTAAATGTAAAGATGAATCCAAGTTTAAGAGCTGGGTTTCATCAGCTGAAGGCGAAGATAGAATGTGCCCTCTTGTCAGTCAGATTGCTAAGGTGTATTTTTCATGAAATGCTTCAGAGCAAGAATACAAAAGTGTGGTCATGAGGTGTGCAATTTTTTCCCTTTTATGTGACTCTGGAAGAGGAGGCCAATTTCAGAGCGATGAAACAAAAAAACGTGTCACAATTGTGCCTTGAGTGATGTATGGTGCACATGATAGCCAGTGCACGTGCAGAAAATGCTTAGCTGATCCGAATGTACAGTTGTGTTTTCACTCCTTTTCCCCGTGCACACTCACCAGGTGACCCTTGGTCTGTTCGGCCATGAGGAGGAGGTGATCTCCAACCCCCTGTCTCCTGGAGTCATCCAGGGCATCATTTACAGCAAGTGCTCTCCTCACGGTGGAGAGAGGGAAGCTGTCCTCCAGCAGGAACTGGTCATCCACATCGGATGGATTATCTCCAACAACCCTGAGCTTTTCAGCGGCATGCTCAAAATCAGAGTCGGGTAAGACAATGTCAGCCTCAGGATGATTGATTTGGTGCTTTAACAGCTCTTTGGTGTCTAGTCAAGCAAGATTAGCTCCTGCAGTTTGTGCACAATTATGTGATTTTACCTTTCCTGGTGTTCACGCTGGTAGATGTGAAGAAATATATCCAAATAAATTACACTCCGTTCTCCTTGGAGGTGGACGCTTCTCAGATATATGTTGGCTATAAAAAAGTTCAAGGACAACAGCTACAGCATTTTAATGAGCGTAGGCATGGGAGAACTGTTGTAAACATGGGTGTTTTAGGACCACTGGTTCAACTGGTGGAGCAACTTATCTAATGTTTTTTGGGTTTGTTTAGTAGACCCAGGCCTTTTCTGGTAAAAAGAAAAAAAAAAGTTAACGGATTTTATTTTGTAAAATGCCTATAGAGTCCAATAACCCCCCAAGGCTCTTCACAACACATCAGTAGTTCACCCACACATTCACACACTGATGGGGAGGATATATGAGGCTATTGTAGCCACAGCTGCCCTGGGGCACACCGATGGAGGCCCCACCGGTCCCTCCAACTGCCAGCAGGGTGAAATGTCTTGCCCAAAGACGTAATGACTGTGACGGATTGAGCAGGACATGAACCTGCAATCTTTCCGTTACGTGGCGAAACTTGACTCCCCTGCCACCGTCTCATCCATATAAACGTCGTGCACATAAGTATCTATTCAAAGTGTTTGTGAAAGGTCAAACATAATGACCAATATGCTTCTTCTCTTAACTTGCCAAATATAATAAACTTCCCGAAAACATCAAACTGCAGATTGTTGAGGATTTGTAAGGAGTCCATGACACGGTCTTGGACCTCTGCAGCAGCACTTCTTCTGAACATCGTTATTGATCTGTGCACCAGAAGCTGTAAGCAGCTGTATTAGTATTGCTATTTAACCCTTAACAGTGATTTGTTAGAGTGGTCCAACAAACCGCTGAGATAAACCCATATCTGAGACACGCCCACGTCTGCTAGTTTGCAGGCAATGTCTACAGTGAGTTCTGGGCCTGCTGAAGTTTTCCTATTGGCTCGTGCCGATAAAACCACTAAGGGAGACAACAAGGAATACCACATCAGCTGACTGCTTTTTGATGTAAAGGAGCAGCGGCTCTTTTAGCTGTCTGGGTGATGGAGCTCATATGTAAGGCCTGGCCACCTTACAGAGGAAACTGATCCAGAGCACTGGAACGTAGACAGACCAGAGAGGCAAGAGCTTTCTGCTTCAGTTCTTTTTCACCATGAAAGACTTCTGCAACTGCATTACTGCAGATCGTCGTTGTCGTCTTCCTCCGCTTATCCGGGTCTGGGTCGCGGGGGCAGCATCCCAACTAGGGAGCTCCAGACCGTCCTCTCCCCGGCCACCTCCACCAGCTCCTCCGGCAGGATCCCAAGGCGTTCCCGGACCAGATTGGAGATGTAACCTCTCCAACATGTCCTGGGTCGACCCGGGGGCCTCCTGCCGGCAGGACATGCCCAAAACACCTCCCCAGGGAGGCGTCCAGGAGGCATCCTGACCAGATGCCCAAACCACCTCAACTGACTCCTTTCAATCCGGAGGAGCAGCGGTTCTACTCCAAGTCCCTCCCGAATGTCCGAGCTGCTCACCCTATCTCTAAGGCTGAGCCCGGCCACCCTACGGAGGAAACTCATTTCGGCCGCTTGTATTCGCGATCTCGTCCTTTCGGTCATTACCCAAAGCTCAGGACCATAGGTGAGGATTGGGACGTAGATCGACCGGTAAATCGAGAGCTTGGCTTTCTGGCTCAGCTCCCTCTTCACCACGACAGATCGGCTCAGCGTCCGCATCACTGCAGACGCTGAACCAATCCGCCTGTCGATCTCCCGATCCCTCCTACCCTCACTCGTGAACAAGACCCCGAGATACTTCAACTCCTCCACTTGAGGTAGGACCTCTCTCCCGACCCCGAGTGGCAAGGGACAAGGAAACTGGTTTTTGGGGCATTACTGCAGATAAAGACCCAATCCATCTCTCACTTCATTGCAGCGTTATTCAGGAACAAAGTGTCGACACCTAAACTCCTACATTTGAGGCCAGAAGGACTACCAACCTGGAGGGAACATTCCATCGTTTTCAGCTAAATTACCAAAATCTTAAATGAATCCAGATTCTTCAAACAAAGGTCTAATAATTAATATTTTAAGTGTCCTAATGGTTAAAAGGTTGAATAAACATGAGGCTGAAAGCAAGAACATCTTCCACTGACTTTTTCAGTTTATTGATGGCATCATAGTCTAGATCTGTCTGTGTTTTCAATTTTTCATAAAGACAGTAAAAGCTATGTAAAGACTGAACTGAAATAACTTTGATAAATATTGAAGATTTTGTAGCATTTGACAGTTTTTCCACCTTTTTGAGCAACCAGTTGGCTTTGCTGGCCCGTGTAATTGGATCTTTAACATTGTATGTGTGGATGTTTAGATGGATTGTTCAGGCCATGAAGCATGAGCTGAAGATCCGAGCTGGAGACATGCCTCCTCAGGACATCTACCAGCTGTCTCCCAGCGACATCAAGCAGCTTCTGCTGGACGTCCTGCAGCCACAACAAAACAGCAGGTAGCCTGGGACCAACCTGCACTATCAACATTCATTGTTACTGCCCCTTCTTTAACTCGCAGTCTGCCTTTGAAGCTACCACTGATTTATCTTGCTTTATCTCTTGGTTTTAATTATTTTATCTTCCTGCTAACATTTATATCTTATCATCTTATTCTAGTGCAACCCAATTTCCCCAGGGGAATGATTAAAGTTTTATCTAATCTAATTATTGCACACTGATTCAAAAACAATTTCCTTAAGCACAACAGCTGCCATCGCCATTTATCATCTGTTTTTAGAGCTCTGTTGCAAAATCTCTCCATCTTTTCATTTCAGATCTTGGCTGAACCGGCGTCAGATCGATGGCTCTCTGAACAGAACCCCCCCTGGGTTCTATGACCGGGTGTGGCAGATCCTGGAGAGGACCCCCAATGGTATCGTGGTGGCTGGAACTCACCTCCCACAGGTACAGCAGAAAAACCTTATTGTATCAATCGTATTGGTCTAACGTGTGTGTGTGTGTGTGCTCAAGTCAAAAGTGTGGAGTTAAATACCAGACATGTCTCCTGGTGACCTCTTTGCAGCAACCAACACTGTCTGACATGACTATGTACGAGATGAACTTCTCCCTGCTGGTGGAAAACACACTAAAGAAGATTGTTCTGCCTGAGTACAGACAAATCATTGTGGAGGTGAGAAGGTTTACATGAGAAGCTTACAGTCACACAACATGAGCATTAGTGCCATCAATTTGAAAGCAAATTACACTGACCATTACTCAGAACAATGGGAGTCCAAGGACATCACTGGAGAAAATCTGCCAAAGGATCCCAACAAGGAAGGAAGCTCCAGCTGCCCACATGGACAAACCAAATGTCCTCTGGAGAAATGTTTTATGGCCAGATGAGACTAAGATTGGTCTATATTAGGGGGCAGCAGTAGCTCAGCAGGTTGTCCAGTAATCGGAAGGTTGCAGATTCGATCCCGGTTCCGGACAGAGAATTCTGCTGTTGTGTCCTTGGGCAAGACACTTAACTCACCTTGCCCGCTGGTGGTGGTCGGAGGGACCGGTGGCTGCCTGTACTCGGCAGCCTCGCCTCTGTCAGTGCGCCCCAGGGCAGCTGTGGCTATATCGTAGCTCATCACCACCAGTGTGTGAATGTGTGTGTGTGAATGGATGAATGATACACTGTAGTGTAAAGCGCTTTGGAGTCCTTACTCTGAGAGGCGCTGTACAACTGCGGGTCATTTATCATTTATATGACTACAATGAAAAGATGTATGGAAAAGTCAAAGTGAGGCTTTCACACCTAAGAACACTATACAAGTGGCCGAGCATGGTGGTGGTAGCATCATGCTGGGAGTGGGCCTAAGTCAAACCCATCTACTTCCGGACCATGGGTCCCCAGAAGAACAAAACAATGAATGCAAGTCAATGGGGCTAAAAACGCTATTTTCTAATTCCGCTTGTTATGTGCCGTGAATTTTAAAGACGCATTTTGATAGCAAGAAAGCGTAAATTTTCGAACGGGGGGAAATACTATTTTAGGTTTTGTTTGAAAATAAGTCCAGGATTACAAATGCGCATCACAAATGTGACGTCATCGAACCAGACACAGAAAACTGAGGGAAAAGGGCTGTAAGTTTTGCGAACTTAAAATCTTTCTTTCAGAAGGAAAAAACCACCATAAATCTGGCCATTTGGTAAGTAGCAGCTATGCTAGAGGGGAATAGATTCTGTGATCACGTCACATATGCGATGTGCCGATGTCTGATTTGTTGTCGGGCTAATTATGAACTTTTACAAGCTGATACATTTCAAAGTACGTGACTGGCGTGGTTGAAACTCCCATCATTAGTTTTAATTTAAATTGAAGTACAACATATGTGTGATCCAGGGCCTAAGGCAAGGCGGATTAGAAAATAGCTCTTTTAGCCCCGTTTACTTGCATTTATTTTTTCGTTCTTCCGGGGACCCATGAGCCGACCGAAAAAGGGAGGAGACTTGGGCTCCGTATTGAATTCTTCAAATTCATCTGAAATCATCAACTAGATGGTTGAAAACTGAACACAGTTGTGTATCCCAACAGGACAGTGATCAGAAAAACAGCTGCTTTCTGAATGGATAAAGCAAGCTAACATTGGCCCTCTGAAATGGTACTTCCAGTCCCCCAACCTGAACATGTATGAACATTTGTAAACTTTGCTTAAAAGTGAGTTCATCAAATGATAAATGCCTGTATTTGATATAGCGCTAACCCTCCATGACGCTTTACAACACAATCAGTCATTCACCCGTTCACACACACATTCACACCCTGGTGGTGATAAGCTACATTGTAGCCACAGCTGCCCTGTGGTGCACTGCCATAACACAGGCGCCACCGGTTCCTCTGACCTCCACCAGCAGGAAAGGTGGGTTAAGTTTGACTGAACTACATAGTCGGCAAACATCAGCCTGAAGTTTACCTGAAGCCTGTTGGTGGCTAGCTGAAGAGCAACCAACTTTGAAGCAAATCCCAGTGGGGGTATAAGTAAATAACTGAGCCTGTCTGTACAGTTTGGTCCCCATGTGAAAGTTAAACATAATTAAAATCATTAATGTTATATGCAGTGTTTTCCTTTTCACTCATAGAAACAATGATTTAAATGGGTTAGGGTTTATGCGCAAAATAAGGAAATTCCTGTTCATGATAGTGGATGTAACCTGCTGACCACAGCTGTACAAGTTAGTTATTTGCATGAAAGTTTTATTAAGTTTATACAAAAGTAAATCTGAGTTATTTTGGTTCCATTCCTTGTATTTGTCAGTAATCTTTTTCTCCCGTCTGTTTGTCGTGCTTTTAGCTGCTGATGGTGGTTGCCATAGTGTTGGAGAGAAATCCAGAGGTGGATTTCAGTGACAAGGTGGATCTGGATGGTCTGGTGAAGGAAGCCTTTAACGATTTTCAGAAAGACCGCAGTCGTTTTGAAGGCATGGAGAAACAGGTAGCAGGCTTCAGTCTGGTCAGTGAACTTGTCTCGCACTAAATGTTTTACCAGAAACTGTAACGACTACACTGAACTGATCTGCATGTCTTTTTACCCTGAAAAATCATATGGGCATTTTCTAACAAGATGTATGCTCTTCTGTTCCTCGCTATCCCAGGATGACATGGAGGCATTCTACAAAACACCACCTTTAGGAAAGAGAGGCACCTCTGGCTACCTAACCAAGGCAGTCATGATTCAGTTGCTGCAAGGAGAAGTCAAACCCTGTAAGGACGACCCATGCTCTGTTAGTTAAAGTCACTGCACTGACCAAGTGGTCTTTTGAGGAATACTTAGGCCATTTTCCTCAAAAAATATTTGTGTATGTCAGAAAATAGAGAGTCTTATTTTTTCTTGTAATGCTTAAATATTAACTCTTAAAGTTGTGTATACTAGTGATCAGATGTTTCAGAGATTTAAAAATTTGCCAACTAAGGCTCAGGTGTGCAGTATGTCTCACTGGTAGGATCCTGCAGATGGTAGCAAACAAAAGAACTGTGGACCTTGGCGCTTTACACTCATAAGGGCCTTAAAAACAGGCTGTTTTCTTCAAAGTACAACCTGCATACCTGTTAGTGTGTGGCTGTCTGGCACTTTAAATGTAGACCTATCTTGCAACTTATACATTATGGGCTATTATTTACACACAAGCATCCATAAACATATATGCATATTGTTTGAGTTGAATGATTAGTGTTTTCTGTTGACCTTCCCCTATGCATGCACATCCTGTCACTAGCTGATTGCTGTAGCCGTTGTGAGGGGTTTTCTGAATGTAACTAAGTGACTACTGGATACTTTTTTTAGACATTTGTGTTTTTGTGAAAGACTGTTTGCATCATTGATAGGAATGAATAAAAACTCACTCTGACTAGTTTTTAAGATGCACCTCTTTGAATATCATCAATATGATGGCATGACCCAAACCCATTTGGAAGCATAAAAGCATGTTTGTCGATTTGTTTTCTCTCTGGGTCTTTCAAAAGATTTTTTTTAGAGAATAAAGTTTTTGGTGGAAACGCTTGCCTCTCTTTTGGCTCTGTAAACCGCCTCTTTATTTATACAGGTAGTCTCACTGAGATTACCTGTATATCCTCAACAGAAACCTGTTTTAACCTCCCAGGGCCCTGTGTCCACATATGCAGACATTGCTCCTTGCACTATAAAATTCTGTTTTCTTCAACTTAGACCTTTTTTTTATTATTTAAAGACACTTGATATTGACTTTAAGTAAAAAAAATTCTAGGAAATTTTACATTTTACTTTAATTTTAATTTCATTTTAATATTTGTGATGTTTCCGTTAATGAGAGTGGACTAATCTGTAATAGCTAGATATCTTTTTTTTTTCTTTTAAATCACATCAAACACTATTTAAGGTCTCAGGAGATTAAAGACTTTCCGGAGTATTTCTCTTATCCGATGGCACCGTAGTGGCTGACAAGCAAACCACACAAATGATTTCTTCAGTTTTTTTAAGATGGCGACTAAATGTTTCTTGTTTATGTGCTTCTGTAGCCGACAAACAGAGCTAAAACACACTGTTTTACAAGTATTATTCTCATGTCATGTCATGTGTTTTCATATATTTATATGTTAGATATTTACTTGTCCATGAAAAGTTCGTCAACTCTGCATCAGCTGAGGTATTCATACCATACCATACCATATTTATTTATAAAGCACCGTTTCAAAATAGCATGGCAGCTAACCAAAGTGCTGTACATAAAAAAGCCAAATGCTTGAACAAGAAACGCAATAAGAACAGGCAAAATACATAAGAACAAAGCATAAATAGTCGGAGATAAAAATTCCTACTAAAAACAATAAAATAGGAGAACAGTTAAGAGCACTATAAAAAATAAAATAATAGGACGAATGGTAAAAACATTTGAAATGGCACAAATAAAACCAGCAGTGGCAGTTGCCGAGGCAAAATCTCGGGCGTGGGAGGAGTTTGGTGAGGCCATGGAGAAAGACTATCGATCGGCTCCAAAGAGGTTCTGGCAAACTGTCCGGCGCCTCAGGAGAGGAAGGCAGCAACTCGCTCACACTGTTTACAGTGGGGATGGGGAGCTGCTGACGTCAACTGAGGCTATAGTCGGACGGTGGAAGGAATACTTTGAGGAGCTCCTCAATCCCACCAATGCGCATTCCGAGGAGGAACCAGAGCTGGGAGGCCTGGGGATGGACTGTCCGATCTCGGGGGCAGAAGTTGCTGAGGTAGTCAAACAACTACACAGCGGCGGAGCCCCGGGGGCGGATGAGGTTCGTCCTGGGTATCTCAAGGCTATGGATGTTGTAGGGCTGTCATGGTTGACACGTCTCTACAACATTGCGTGGTCATCGGGGGCAGTTCCTAGGGAGTGGCAGACCGGGGTGGTGGTCCCCATCTTTAAGAAGGGTGACCTGAGGGTGTGTTCCAACTATAGGGGGATCACACTCCTCAGCCTCCCTGGAAAGGTCTACGCCAAGGTACTGGAGAGGAGGGTCCGATCGATAGTTGAATCTCAGATAGAGGAGGAGCAATGTTGTTTTCGTCCTGGCCGTGGAACTGTGGACCAGCTCTATACCCTTGCAAGGGTGATGGAGGGGGCATGGGAGTTTGCCCAACCAATCCACATGTGTTTAGTGGATTTGGAGAAGGCTTATGACCGTGTCCCCAGGGGCACCCTGTGGGGGACGCTCCAGGAGAATGGGGTGGGTGGCTTTCTGTTAAGGGCCATTCAGTCCCTTTACCAGAGGAGCGTGAGTTTGGTCCGCATAGCCGGTAGTAAGTCGGACCTGTTCCCAGTGAGGGTTGGACTCCGCCAGGGCTGCCCTTGGTCACCGGTTCTGTTCATCACTTTTATGGACACAATTTCTAGACGCAGCCGTGGTGTGGAGTGTGTTGAGGTTGGTGGCAGGAGAATCTCGTCTCTGCTTTTTGCGGATGATGTGGTCCTCCTAGCTTCATCCAGCTCTGACCTTCAGCTCTTGCTGGGTAGGTTCGCGGCCGAATGTGAAGCGGCTGGGATGAGGATCAGCACCTCCAAATCTGAGACCATGGTTCTCGACCGGAAAAGGGTGGCTTGCCACCTCCGGGTCGGGGGAGAGGTCCTACCTCAAGTGGAGGAGTTTAAGTATCTCGAGGTCTTGTTCACGAGTGAGGGTAGGAGGGATCGGGAGATCGACAGGCGGATTGGTTCGGCGTCTGCAGTGATGCGGACGCTGAGCCGATCTGTCGTGGTGAAGAGGGAGCTGAGCCAGAAGGCCAGGCTCTCGATTTACCGGTCGATCTACGTCCCAATCCTCACCTATGGTCATGAGCTTTGGGTAATGACCGAAAGAACGAGATCGCGGATACAAGCGGCCGAAATGAGTTTCCTCCGTAGGGTGGCCGGGCTCAGCCTTAGAGATAGGGTGAGGAGCTCGGACATTCGGGAGGGACTCGGAGTAGAACCGCTGCTCCTCCGGATCGAAAGAAGCCAGTTGAGGTGGTTTGGGCATCTGGTCAGGATGCCTCCTGGACGCCTCCCCGGGGAGGTGTTTCGGGCATGTCCTGCCGGCAGAAGGTCCCCGGGTCGACCCAGGACATGTTGGAGAGGTTACATCTCCAATCTGGTCCGGGAACGCCTTGGGGTCCTGCCGGAGGAGCTGGTGGACAAGGCCGGGGAGAGGACGGCCTGGAGCTCCCTAGTTGGGATGCTGCCCCCGCGACCCGGACCCGGATAAGCGGAGGAAGACGAAGACGAAGACAAATAAAACCAAATAAGCTACCAGATGGTGCGAGGTGCCAAAAGTGTGCAACTGATTTAAAAAAATGGAATTAAAAAATCAAATCCGGTGCTAGATTTTCATGAAAAGTGTCACAGAGGGAAGGCGATACTAAAGATGTGAGTTTTCAGGGCCGACCTGAAACTGCTAACAGAGGGAGCCAGACGCACACTGAGGGGCAGAGAGTTCCAGAGTTTTGGGGTTGCATAAGAGAAGGCATGCTCCCCCCGTGATTTGTACCGAACCTTCGGAACAACAAGCTGCAGATGATCTGCTGACCGAAGGGCATGGGTGGGAACATACGGGGTCAGCAGGTCCGTCAGATAGGATGGGGATGGGCAGAACAAAGCCTTGTAAACATATAACGAGACCTTGAAGTGAATCCTAAGTTTCACTGGGAGCCTGTGTAAATCTGCGAGGATGGGTGCATGCGTCTGTCGGTGTTGGTTAAAAATCTGGCCGCGGCATTTTGAACTTTGCTTAGGGCTGAAGCATTAATCCCAATCAGGACAGAATTTGTGTAATCCAGACGTGAAGTAATGAAAGCATGAATGACTAGCTCAAGATCCGGGCGTTTGAGGATTGACTTAAGACGAATGATGAGGCGGTTGGAAAAAACAGGACTTGACAGTAGCGTTGACTTGTGAAGACATTGAAAGGTCAGAGTCCAGTTTCACACCTAGGCTAGTGGCACATGATTTGAGATTGAGTGGGAGAGTTGAGACATCTAAAGCACCATTCATGTTAGTGGGGCTAAAAAGTATGGCAACTGATTTGCTGTCATTTAACCGTAGGCAGTTTTGAGAAAGCCGTCTGTCATCTAGGTGCAAAGTAAGCTGTGTGAGAGCCAGTTCCTCAATTACTTTTGAGATGAATGGAAGTTTTGAGATTGGGCAATAATTGGCACAGTCAGACTGGTCAAGGCCTGGTTTCTTTAATAGCGGCTGAACAACTTAAATTTGAAGCAGGTAAGTGGTAGTCTAACGCTATTGGTTAGTTCTGGTCGACTCGGCGGTCAGTTTCCTATTACACGGAGCTCTGTGTGGTTAGCAAAAAAAATTTAATAGACAAATTGCTTACATTATACTGTACATGATGAAGCAATCACTTTTACGGATTTCTGAAAAATCATACATAATTTCTGACTGGGGAAAACTCCGGAAAGATAAGCTATCATACAAGATGTAACTGATACTACTTAAGACCCATCTACCATAAGCCTGTACTACTTTTGGAAGAAAGCTTACCCACTTCCTCATTTGGTGCAGTGTTGCTGACTTTAACTACTGGAGTAATGCCAAATACAGACTTCAGTCAATCAAAAATCAGAATAACAACAGAGATGTTCTGTCCTGCATCATCGATGTAAATTGTGAGTTAGGTCCTAAAACAGAGCCTTGAGGCACACCTTTTGTGAAATTTAGTTGAATGGAAAGGAGATCACTGAATTGCCAACAATGCTAATGACCAAAAAGATGATGGGAAACCAAGAAAGTCTCAACATGTTGCATTCTGGGTCTCTCGGAGGCTAAATTACATGGTGCTAAAATCAGTCAGCACCTCTACAACCACGCTGCACATGTAGTCCTGCAACACTGACTGTCAGAGATGGGGGTGGGGGTTGAAATTGAGCTCAGCTCCTCAATATATTCATATCAACTCACATTGTGATGAGATAAGCCTCACTCTGTCTTCCTTAATCTCCTCTACACAAACAGGACTCTCAAAGGATATCCAAAATGTTTTATATTTGTTGCCAATTAGAGTAATTTGAATGTGAGATAAAGGATCGTGTTGTCTTGGAGAAAAGACGGCTGATCTCTAACTCCAGGGATCCCTAAACACAAGCTCCACTTGAACGGATTATTACTTATATTACACGTACGCCTTCTGTAACTCTTGGGGAAAATATCTTCAAACCATAAATAACAAATTGTGCTCTCATTCTCCTGACCGCTGCAACATTAAAGAGCACTCACAAGCAATCCAGAGATATAACCTTTGATTTATTGCTTCTCTGCTCTTGAAGTCTGAAGAATAAATGATCCCCCGTCAGGCTTCTAGGATGCTGGAGAGTTCAATAAATTAACTTCCTATGGTCAGAAATGTTTCTAAAGCGTTTTGTCTTTAGAGAGGAACTAAGAAAAGAAAAGAAAATACAGTCAACATGGACTTCAAACTGTAAAGTATTCATTAAACTGAATGGGTCTCCGGAGCAGGCAAAGATTCTGATAATTAAGGAACTAACAGAACTAGAAAAATAC